CTCACATGTCCTAGGGACTCACATGTCCCAACACCTCACATGTCCCAGGGACTCACGTGAGAGTTTAGCTGAATCGTGTTTATTATTATGGGTTATGACGTGAGAACATTATCGAGGCAAAGCATTACACAGAGTTGGACATTGGACAGTAATCTATATTAAGAACAGACTGAAGGCTGTAGTGTACACGGTTCATAGCATCTTAAACGATATGTGTGAAGGCAACACTCAGACCCACAGCTGGTTTTTCTTGGGTCCAAACCACAATGTCAAAGTTAGCCTCGCTTTTTATTTTGTGGTCTAAGTTGCCCAATTATGTTTTTCGGGAACTAGAACTGTTTGCAAAATCATAATCAGATCATTATCGGACGGATTAAGCAATTTGCCATTCTTGCTGGTTAGAGGCAACAAATGAATCCACTTCCAGTTCATGTCATTTAAGACAAACATGGTCTGTGCTCTTTGCCAGCGTTCATGCAGAAAGAAAATATTCAACTACCGCAGCAATCAGGTGTTAACATCCGTCTCCTTTTGTTTTGGGGTCACTTCCTCCAGTTATGATGTCATTCATAGTGAGCTGCAGTTTGCTTGAGAGGAGGCTGGGCCTCGTACATTTAGGCGTCTGCGCTGTGTTAGTGTGCCACCCAAGTTCAAATGGCATTGTTCTCCTCCACCTAAACCATCTTCGCCTAACCTCCCCGGTGTTAATGGCCGACAGTCGGTCGGACTCGCTCTACTTCTTTACGGAGATGATTTCCCACCAGGCAGCAGCTGTAAACACGCCGCTATAAAAGCCCAGTAAATGATGAGTGCCATCTAGCTATCGGCCTGCAAAGACCCTGAACAGCGCTCACTTTTCTCTTACTCGACTTGTTTTTGCCTAAATTAAACGCTTACCACACATTAGAGTGCGTTGTAGCAGCATGCACAGTACATAAAACAGTTCCTGCGTTTAAAAAAGGAAAAGCATGCAAAGCAAGAAACGGAGGAGAAATAGTTTTTGGTCCTTGATGAGCTTTGTTTTTAGCTCCGCCGCCCGTTGATCGTCGGCGGTTCTTCTGTAAATGTCAGGTGTCGGCCCTCGGAGCTCTCCGCCGCTGCTGCCACTTTGGTCACGGCTTCGTCATCCAACGGCGTTCCTCTCGCTTCAAAGTGCTCCATGTTTGTATGTGTGTACGAGCGAGCTCTCAGCTGGGCTGTAATCTAACACTGCAATTTAGGGACTACAGGAATGCAGCCTGGTGTTAACATACCTTGACAGGATAAACACAGCGGCCTGCTCCCAGACTTGGACTGCTCATATACCTCCAAAGCCCTGCCAGGGCCCGGGGCCTTCACTGGGCTTTTGTAAGGAATATGGGAAGGGTGTCATGTTATGTCAGTGTCGCTCACCAAAGTGTGTGTGTGTGTGCCCTCGAGGTGGAACAAATGTGTTGAATGCATCACCTTGCTCACGAAATGTTTTATTTTGAAAGGAGTATTTGAATTCCAGCATTGTTTACATGCTTGTTTGCCAGCTGGCAGTCTTCTTCTGGGCCTTTGCTGCATACCCTGGCATGTTATCGCCACCTGTGGGTCAGTGTGGACCTCATGCTTGTGCACGAGATAAACAAAACAGGGACCCGCTCTCAGAAAAAAGGTAAAAATACATCAGCTCTATAGCACGACTAGAGGAAGAAACCTTTAAGTCTCCGGTTCTACAGCGGATGATGATAATTCTCAAGCCTTTACTTATTTAAATTGCAGATGTACGTTTGGGTAAATAGTATGGGGATTGTTGTAGTGTTTATAACGTTTTCTATAAGTTACATCATGTCAGGGAAACAGACATTTGTTGATTTGAAAGTGCTTTGAGTCACCGTGTTAAAGGAACCCTCCTGTCTCTTTGATAACGGGCTCTTTGATCAGCCTGCTGGTGTTTGATGCGATGAGTATTTATTCAGCTCTCCTCTGTAGATGCGTAATGCTCCATTAATGCCTCGCATGTTGTACAAGCAAGCTTTGCATCATCTCATGAGAACTATACGGCACCTC